AAAATTTGTAGTTAGCTACAAAAAGTAGCGTGCTACTTAGATACTCCCCCATCCCTGCCCAAGGCATTAATTGAGATAACAATAAATATACACAAAAAAAACAAAAAAAAGAGTTTTAGTCTGTAGGCAGAGCCGTATTTTAACCACACCCCTGCATTGTACAGCAGGAAGTGAGACTGCATCCCTGTCCCTCATGACCACATGGTGAGCAGTTGGATTTCATTGATTTGAAAATTAGTGTGTAACTTTACTGTAAATTAAGTAACTTTACTGTAAATTAAGTAATTTTCTACTCCTCACAGTTGAAGTTATCTCAAACACATTCAGTGATGTTTTCATTAAATATGCTTTTATGAGAGTATTACTATTCAAAGCTGTGTTTGCTAGTCATGTACTGGCTAGCATTTTTGAGTTATGCTCAAAACTAGGTAAGTCACTACTGAAACACTTGGTAAAGTTCTGGTAGTGTTATGATTGTTTCGTTAGTAATAAAATGGAATGTTCAATCATTGTTTTAAAAAATAAACATAATTAAGGAATAAGATCATTCAGAGCAAAAGGATTTTTGTTTAAAGTACAAGTCAGTTAAAAGTCCAAAATGTGTTTGACTTTGACTTTGAACCAATGATTCATGTTTATAAGTACCTCTATGTAATAATGGTATTCCATATATCTTACATAAGTATTATGTAATAATAATTTCATATATGTATTACATTCAGCACTGTGCAGAAATCTAAGGCACCTAATTACATTATTTAAAAACATTTATCTTAGCAATAAATGTGTTTTGCCAGTAAAAGTACAAGATGATTAAATGAACACATTGTCACACTTAAAACCACTTCTTATTATATTATAACAAAACCGCTATTGAATATGAGTTATTCATTTTTGATTGTCAGGAAAAAAGGCAGAAAAGCAGGGATATTGTTCCACACCTCTAATGTTCAGTCTTAGAAGTGGGTTTCATTTTCTACTCCTCACAATCTAAGTTATCTCAAACACATTCAGTGATGTTGAGGTCTGGACTCTGGGGTGGTCAGTCCATTGTTCTGAAAACCCCAGCAGCTTATATATTATATATACATAACTATATTAACAGCTAGCTGTAAACAGGATACTGCACCTCTCAGGTCTGTGTGTGTGTATGTTTGTACAGTATGCTTGTCTTCAACTTTATCTTCTTTCATGGTGCTCAGGGATGTCTTTTCAGTTGACGCTCATTTTTCACCCACCTGCCCTCATTTTCTCGCTGCACACTGCAGTGTAATGTGAATTGTGTTGGGCTGCTTTCATCAGATGATCTGTACCAGCAAACATCAAGCTAGATTCAAAGCAGAGGAGGGGAGAGGAGGTTTTTGGCTGACGCAGGCCTAACAATTTATTTTGTTTGTGCTGTCGAGTGAAATTTAAAAGGTTTCAGGGAAACTTGCTGCTAGCTCCACTCCATAACGAAATGACCACTTTATGGCCAGCGACATTCATTATGATATTAACAAAAAAGCCACTGTATAGGTCACAACTGGGGACACAAGCCTTCATTAAGTGCATTCATTAACAGCTTCAAGACTTAAATTGTCCTCTGACACAAAATAGTCGATCAGCCAAGATATATTTGGTGTCTTTAGTTTAGTTTAAGTTTCCTAAATCAGCAAGGACAGCTAGCAAGTAAAGAAAGCTTATATCCCTCTAATTACAGTGCTAAAACATGACAATTGGAGTTAGGCCTTTAGTATGGGCCATAATTGTCAAAACTTGGCCTTAAAACAAGAAAAATAAAGGCCTTTAAGATAATGCTAGTTTCTGCTACTATTATTATTATTAGTGTTGCTAAAGTACTTGTAGATTGATAATACAAGTGTGATGTTACCATTACATGAAAATGAACTGCAAAGTCCAGTCGATATATTTTTTTATTGTCCAGAACTAAACAGGCCTTCTCTGCAAGCCTAGACCCTGAGGGTTCTCCACTGACCAATTAGCAGTGTGCAAACTGCATGCCAAAATCATCACACACTTTCCTCAAACCACACTGAGCTGTTAAGCAGTCTCAAATAGACTTGCTTATGTGGTTACTCACAAAAGTAGATAAGAAATCGACAAAAGTGCGGACAAACTTTTCTACAGTACAAAATGAAAGAAGCAAACATCAGAACCAAACATGTCTTGGCTGATCGACTATATTTGATATAAAGGGAATGTTTTTCCCTGAACATTTTAAGTCTGAATTAGGAAAAGCTGAAATTGACGGACCCCATGTTAATATTTCAGTAGAACATGCAAACAGATAATAACGGAGCCTACTAAATCATACAACATGGACATTTATCATGCTCTCTGTGAGTGTCCTGAGATGACTGTGGTGCTGGTAATTCGTGATGGGAGGATTGGAGGAGGACTGAGGGTTTGCAGATCCATAAACTTCGATCTTTTGCATTTCTAAGACCTTTTTTTCTCTCCTCAGAGTTTGACTGATTAGCCCTTTTTAGATGGTCCCCTATAACATATCTACACATGTTCAATATGTTAACAAACGATCTAGTGAAGCTCAGGTGTTTATCAAGTGTTATGGTTATGGTTAAGATTAGGAACCAGGCGGGTATTTTACAAAGCAGGTTTTATCAGTAAACTGGAGAACGTAAGCCAAAGGTTGAGGATTGTCCAGTAGGAATGTTCCTTAGCTCTTTTTCAGTTGGACAGGTTTGTTTTTTTGGCCTATATTATCAGGCAGACCAAGAAATATTGTGAAATTTATTAAATATTCCACAGAATTTGGCTGATGGTTTGTTTTTTGTTTTTATGTTAAAGTTATGATTAGAGTTAGAGTGAGAGCTGGGTTTAGGCCAAGCCTTGACATTGGTGCAAGAAAGAACGATATCTTCTAAGAACCAAAACATGATCATGCTTAACTGTTCTGGACAATTTGAAATTTCTATTACTGACTAATACTATTGCTTTTTTATTCTGTGTGGTCTACACTTTTAATTCCACATTCCGGCCTAAATACAGCATTTAATATATGTTATTTGTCACAATACGTAGCATTCTGTGGTGCAGCACTGGATCCCTCGGCCTCATTGGTTTGGCAGAATTCACAATTTTGTATAATTCCACAGCAGCAAAGGAATCCTGACTGCTAGCTTAGCCACTGATTCCAAACATTCCAAACAAGGTACTGATGCTGGATGAGTAGTTCTGGACCACAAACTCCCTCCAACTCATACCAGAGGTATTGGATGTCGCTCCATCGCTCCAGAGAACACAGTTCCGCTGCTCCACAACTCAGTGCTGGGGGGCTTCATGCCCTTCTAGTTTGAGCTTGGTGAGCTTAGGATCATGAGCATATTTAGGTGACTGGAAATGGAAGACAAATTGAGCATCTATAAAGCAGCAATAGTTGACCATAAAAAATATGACCCATTTTTCAACATCTGAGGAGAACTTCTCCACGGGCTTCAGCGGTCAAGCAGTAAAGCCCAGCCCCTGCACTCTCTGTGTTCCTCTTAGATGAACATTGATTTCTTCAGTGAGCAGTAAGTCAGAGGTCCGCGTGAAGCCTCCTGTGATGTATAGGCTACATGAAGGACGTGTCACATGCATCTTATCTGGCGGTCTGACTTAAAGCATTACTCACATACACCAAGCCCAACCATCTGTCACCCATCACTTTCGTGCTCACTCCTCCCTTCTGTCTCTTTCCTTTTCTTTCTGTAGTCTCCTTTCTTTTTCTACTGCTCTCTGTGCCTCTGCTACATGGTATGGTACACTAAAAAGCCCTTGCTGGAAAAATATGTATATAGTCATCCCACCTGCCCAGCACAGTTAGTGCTATTCTTCTATATACTCTCTCTATATATAGTATATATAGTACTAACACTTTATATAATATATCTATAATGCAATATATGTAATATATAGGCTCAAGTATATTTGTGAGTACACTAAACTACTTTTTCCACAGTTCTTCTTTAGCCATTCACATTGACTTGCTAATTCTGTTTGTGTTTGTGTAAAATCCCAGGCTTATTACAGCCTAAGGCTTATTATTCAACTATGGAAAACAATGCAAACAGAGTTAGTCTTAAGTTATAGAGCTGCTTTACCCCTCTCATTTTCAATGTTACCAAAAGAATGCCAAGAAAATGATGCAATTTATTATTATTTCAACCTCAGATTCCTTCCAGTGTCAGTGGGGTTGTTCAGTGTCTTCATCCCCCACCTTTACATTACACATGTGGTGTTGGGGTGAACCCACGAGGAATAAAAGTGTGGAGGTGCTGTGTCCTTCACTCTGTTACATACATGCATGGCCTACTGTTAGTGTGTGTGTGTGTGTGTGTGTGTGTGTGTGAGTATGTGTGCATGTGTGTGAGGGTGGACAACATGGACAGGCTGCTGACTGGCGACGATATTTTAAACATCTGGTATTTTAAATAAACTGTTAAGGCTGTATTGAAAACAATAATGTGGTGGGTCCACCAGACCACTGAGTAACAAACCCATGAACACCATACAAGGGTTAGGACTAAACATTTCATTTTAGACCAAAATGATTCCAAAAAGAGAAAAATAGCATCTATAGCCTCTCTCTCGCTCTCTTATTCTCTCTCTCTCCCTCTCTCTGCTCACCTCCGGTGCCACCCATCTTATGCCAGAGACTGTCCTGTGTTTGGCTCATTTCCCTGGAGTGCCACAGCGCACGTTCATGATCAGGAGGGGTCTCTAGTCAGACCCCATCCCTGTCCTGGTGAGGGTGCGGGGTGCGGAGCAGATGGTTCTGCTGCTGTACTTTGTGTCACGGCTCCCTAGAGACTCTGTTTCTGACAGAGTACTTAACCCAGCATGTGTTCTCATATGGAGCTGGAGAAGAACCTTCAGCGCTGTCCTCTTTCTCCTTACCGCTCTGACTCCCCCCTTTACTTCTCTTCTGCACTGACGTGTGTTTCCCCTGTCCTCTCTTTCTTTCCCTCCCCCTCTCTTTCCCTCCTCCCCTACAGTCTGATGTCCTCCAGGCGCTACTACTTTGAGATTTTGCACAAGCAGGACGACAAAGGCTCAGACCACGTGGAGGTCGGGGTAAGTTTAGTAGTGTGAAACTGACACAAGTTTGCTTTGCTTGTAAAAATGATAAGCACCACCTCCAGCACCTGTACATGAAGTAAAGGGTCCTGAAAAGTCCTCGGCTTGGATTGACACTTATAAGAAAACCTTTAATCCGTATAGTAAATGCACGTTTGAAGGTTCTTTAAACTTTCTCACATCTCATTACAGTGCTTGCAAGGCGAGAACTGTGTTGTTGTGTCTGTCTTTCCTTTTTTCTTCTTCTAACGCAACTAATACAGCTTGAATGCACAAACTCCAACAAAATGGAGAATTTCAGCGATTTACTGGCATTAATATATTTTTTTTGGTCATATTTTATTTTAAAATTGTACATTTTCCCATAGACCTGTATGGTGGATACCCTGATTAGCTGTGCTTGTTTAATATGATCTTTCATCCTTATGACTTTTCAGTCACCTCACTTCTTTCTTTCCTTCTTTCTGTCTTTCTGTCTTTCTTTCCTTCTTTCTGTCTTACTTTCATTCTTTCTTTCTTTCTTTCTTTCTTTAGTGTCTCGTCTATCTTTGTTTCTTTTTTATTTTTTGTTCTTTCTTCATTTTTCTTTGTTTCTCTTTCATTTTCATCTTTTTCTTTCTTTCTTTCTTTCTTTCTTTCTTTATTTTCTAATCTATCTTTTTTTGTTTCCTCCTTTCATCTTTTGATCTTTCTTCCTTTTCCTTATTTCTCTTTCATTTTCTTCTTCTTTTTCTTTCTTTCTTTCTTTCTTTCTTTCTTTCTTTATTATCTAATTATCTTTGTTTCTTTTATCTTTTGTTCTTTCCTCCTTTTTTCTTTATTTCTCTTTCATTTTCTTCTTCTTTTTCTTTCTTTCTTTCTTCTCTCATCTGTCTTTCTTTCTTTTATCTTTTGTTTATCATTCTTCCTTGTTCTTTCTTCTTCTTCTTTTTCTTCTTCTTCTTGTTCTTTCTTTCTTTTGTTCTTTCATTCTTTCTTTCTTTCTTTCTTTCTTTCTTTCTTTCTGCCAAAGATTTTAAGGTGTTTTTTCTTGCAAGCTCTTTCTTTCCCTCAACAAATGCAGAACTAATTTCTAATAATGGTTCATTAAATAAAAATCTGTTTGAAAACCTTTTTATGGAAATAAAAATGGTTCTTCTATGGTAGTTGTTGTCAAACTGGTCAGACGGCCCACATTTTTGCTCCAACCCAACATGCAATGCATAGTGATAGAGCAAAAGTTTCTTAACCTGTGGGCCGCAGACCACCAGTGGGCCGTGAAGCACCCTCTGGTCCATGGGCCTGTACCCAGGGGGAGGCAGTAGTTCGTAGTGGGCCGGTACTCCACCCATATATGGGTCTCCATCAAACAGCTGAACCGGTCCGTCAAAACTGGTGGGTCTCGGCCCACTTCCAGCCGAGCCCTGTTCAGTTCAGTGCTGATGGCAACGCATTTTATGATCAAACGAGGGAATTCATCAATAGAGCTGGCTTTGCTCTTCTAGCAGAACATCCATGCTGTGCTGTCAGCATAATCTGCCTGGTTTAACATCTGACTCTTTACAGGCTCTCTTTGCTCTCAGCTGCAGCTGTTAAAAACGACAGACAAGCCTTAAAATAGTTGCCAAGATCTGCGTTTGATTCTTGGTCGAGCATCAGTGACCTGAACAGTTAAACTCACATTGATAAACCAATGTCAAAGAAGCAGATATCAAGTAAGGTTTATTATCATTGTTGATTGTGACAATGCTAATCCAGAAGCCCACTGAGTGGAGTGAGGTTTATTTCAAATAAGGCACTAAAACCCTCAAAACTAAAGAGACATTTCAACCCCAAACAGTGATTCCTGTGGGAGCCACAAGAATATTTTCAGCGAAAACGTGATGGTCTGCAGCTCCAAATCACAGTCCACATCTACATCTACCTTTGTTCTTCTTCTTCCCCCTTTTTGACATCTCTGCAAAAATGTGTTTTTTTAACATGTATGTTTTCTAACATAACTGGAAATTTTGGTTTCTGTGACTGAAGTGAAATGGGTGATCTGATCTTTTTCAAGCTCTTATTCAGAGGTTTTTGGTGTGAGCAATTAAGAAGGTTCTTCACACGCAGTGTCACATTTATAATAGCAGTTCTTTAAACAACCATCTATTGAATAGGTTCTTTAAGACAGTGCTTCTCAAACCAATCCTCAGAGCCCCCCAGACAGTCCACATTTTTGCTCTGTTCATATGTTTTGGGAGCTGAGATTGAGGAGAAACATGGGCTGTCTGAGAACCAGTGCTTTTTGGAACCAAAATTGGTTCTTCCATGGCTTTACTCCAAAGACCTCTTTTTGACACCTTTATTTTAAGGAGTGAACAGACCAGACGAAGCACTAATGCAGTCTTGAGAAGCTCCTAAAGAGGTTGCTGCTGCCTTATTATTTCCATACCATTGAAGAGGAGCCTGTCATATAGACGACTTCTCAACCACTTAAACTGCGTTTATTGTATTATTTTTATAAGAAGCTCTGAGTGAAATAAACAGAACAGACTGCTGAACTGAACTGAGAACTCAGAGACACTCTGACTTTATCCTATAAGAGCTTCATTTGGCTCTCCTGCTCTATTCTCATATGCTCTCTCTGTCTCTCTCTCTCTCTCTCTCTCTGGCATTCTTTCTCTCTTTCATTTCTCTCACTTTCTCTTGCATTCCCTCTCTTTTCTTTCTTTCTCTCTCACTTTCTTGTCTCCTCTTTCTCTGTCCCTTTCTGACTGTCTTCCCCTTTTTTCTCTTGTTTACTCTGTCTGTCTTTTTTCTCTTCCTCACTCTGTCTTTCTCTCACTTTCTCTTGCATTCTTTCTCTTTCTTTTTTCTATCTCTCGCTCTCATTCTCTCTTTCTCATTGTCTTTCTGTCTCTCTACCCCACACACTCTCTCCCTCTCTCTCTCCCTCTCTCTCTGCCTCTCTCTCTCTCTCTCTCTCTGCTCACCTCCGGTGCCACTCCTCTTATGTGAGAGATTGTCCTGTGTTTGGCTTGTCCATCCGTCCGTCCGTCCGTCCGTCTATCTATTTATCCATCTATCTATCTATCTATCTCTGTCTTTCTCTCTCTTCTTCTCTCTCTCTCTCTCTTTCTGTCTATCTCTCTTTCGTTGTCTTCCTCTCTCTTTCTCTTTCTCTCTCTCACTTTTTGTCTCTCTCTTGCCATCTATCTCTCTCTCTCTCTCTATCACTCCTACACTGGATTATTTAGGAAGTGGAAACTGAATTGGTAGAAGACACGATGCAATTTAGTCCTGCAGAAAAATGTAAATGTGTCATGAAGACCCTGATGTAAATCTACAAAACACTCTCTGACTCACTGCCCGTAATGACCAGAGCCGAGTTACGGCTCCACTGCAATACAAAACGTGTCACACTTTACACGTTTATAGTGGATACACCCATACAGAGCAGGGCCTTTCTGAATGTGCCTCACAACTGCCCTCATAACTCCTGACCCATAAAAAGCGTTTACTGATATGGCTGCTCGCTACATAACTGCATCCTTGAACGGCCACAGTGATTCTAGATAGGATGATTATTATGTCCGCGCTCGACCCAGACAAATTTAACCAGCGTACTTCCGTGCTTTTATTAGAGAGACAGAAAAGCGGGGGCGAGCATTCTGACAGAGATGGAGCGAGGGAAGGAAAGGGGCCAATAGGAAAAGAGGCAAGGAGAGGGAGAATTGGAGAGAAAATGAATAGGAAATGTATCCGCTGCTCCCTGCATTTAGACCAACCGTGCGTGAATGAGGCCGAATGGCTGTGACAGGAAGAATGCACGAAGTTCAGGAATAGAAAACCTGAACTTAAAATGAATCTCCTCTGGAGGAGAGACAAGTAAAACAAAGTTAAGAGGGTTTGAAAACTTTCCCTTCAGACAGATGTGATGGTCATGTTTAGTGACTAATGAGGAGAGAAAAAGGATGAAATTACTGTTATAAAATGGATAGTTTGGATTCTAAAATCTCATTGGCTGAGCCACATTCAAAGCTGGAGTAAAATGCTCTGCATGTAGTACAGCACAAAAGATGGAGATCATCCTTCATTTACCTAATTTGTCACTGCTTGCATCATCCCTGACAGCACTTCTTAATCGTGGTAAAATCACAGCAACAAACTGGATTTATTTCATCTGGAAAAGTTTGCATTAATCTATAATCCATCCAGAAATAATTTATGTTGCAAAGTTTTGCATAATTGCCCTAGAATGAATAACATGCCAACACACAGATCCTTTTACCTGTTTTTCCCTTCACTTTAATCATAGTCAGTTCCCTCTCGCCAGCTAAGTCTGCCCCTTCACACAATGCTACCAGTCTGGGAGGGTGAAGGTTAGCTGGTGCGTCATCTGACTCGTGAAGCAGCTCTACATCTTTTTGAACTGCCACTAACGCAAAGTCATTGGACAGCTCAACACGCTTGGAGGAGAACGCTAACTGCCAATTCTGGGTAACACTTTATTTGAAGGCTACTTACATAAGGGTATCATAATACATACATAAGCACTAAACATATTTATAAGGTAACACTTGAGTATTTATAACAGGTTACGCCAATAGTCGCAAGATACCATATGCTGAAGTAAATTATATTTTATTAAAATATGTGGGACTGATATAAACTTCAATACTAGACCTTCCCATTACTTGTGAATGAGGTTTCATAACTGTGTTATAAATGGAACAAATGTCTTTCACTTTGATTTTATGTCCTTTATGTCAATGCAAAGTAATCTACTTCATAGCGTCTTATATCGTCTTGCGATTACTAGTATGAGCTGGTCATAGGTACTCAAATATTGCTTCATAAATATGTTATTCAGTGCTTATGCACATGTTATGCAGTCCCTATGTGGGTAACCTTCAAATAAAGTGTTACCCAATTCTGTTACATTAGCTAACAGATGCCCACATTGGCTAGCATCACACTGGGTGATAGGGGAAACAGAGGACAATCCTGCCTACCCAGAGAGAGCGAGGACAGTTATG